ACTGCTTTAGTAGTGATAAATTTTTTAAAGTTTTGATCAGTAAGTATGCAAGTTTTTGGGTTTTACAGTATAATTTTGAACTTAAAACCTTATTTTGGCCCAATAAAAGGTCATCGGAGTTAATACATTCGAAATGTCCTCAGATTGCTTGAAAGGTTTTCATTAAGTTATTTAAAAAATAATAATTGCAGTGCTAAATTTTGAAGAAATTTTGTTGGCATTTATTGTTTTTCTTTTAGCTAAAGCTTTATTTGTCTAGCTGCAAAAATAAACTTGTAAATACAGTTAGTATTGTTAAGTAGATTGTTATCTCTTCTGTGGTGATCATAAGTCGTTAAATATTTCACTTCAGTTTCTTCTAGGATCATTGACAGAACTTAAGTTTAGAGATCAAATTTTTCAAAAAGCTCAAATTTTAGAGATCGAATTTTCGTTAAAACTATAGGTCAAATCTTTTAAATTATAGGTCAGCTAGCGAAGGATGTCAAGTAAATAGATGAACTTAATTATATACTATAATTAATTAATCATATACTAATAAATAAATGATTCGATTTTGATTACCAAAATTGCAATTACTTTGTTTTCAAGTTAAAACACAGTAAAACATGAAAAATATGATATGTTTGTATTATTATGAACTTAGTTATATATTATAATTAATTAATGATATACTAATAAATGAATGATTCGATTTTTAATTATATACTATAATTAATTAATCATACACTAATAAATAAATGATTCGATTTTGGTTACTAAAATCGTAATTGTTTTGTGCTCAAATATTCAAGTTAAAATACAGTAAAACATGGAAAAAATGATATGCTTGTATTATTATGAACTTAGTTATATATTATAATTAATTAATCATATACTAATAAATAAATGATTCGATTTTGATTACTAAAATTGCAATTATTTTGTTTTCAAGTTAAAATACAGTAAAACAGAAAGTATGCTACGCTTGTATTATTAATCCATATTGTTTTAGTTCTTAGTCTATCTTTTACTGCTAATAGTCGTTTATAACATTACGATAACAAAACGAGCAATGATCAGTGACCATCTTTTGAGATCTATTCATATATTTTATCAAAAATATTTAAATTATTAATTGTTAAAATTATACTTTCTAAAGGATAATCTGTAGTAGTTGTGTGAAATGAGAAAAATTATTCTGTACAGTAAAATTAACAAAGTATGGAATCTGATTTCTCCTGGTTATTTCAAATGATTATCATATAAATATTGTTGTGAATGCAATAAATAAATAATTAATAATTGAACAAATAAAAATAAACTAGTTTTTATTAATATTTTTATTAGATCAACCAATTTAATTCGGATTAATTAAATAATTAATCATTAGTGACAATAATTAATTAATTTGCATGAAATGATTTTATGGTATGCAAAAATTTAGACTGAAAAGTAATGCTTCCATGTTGAACATTTGTTTTCTATACTAAACAGATAAATAATCGAGTAAAAGTGAACTTTTTGCAAGCCTGGCTTTATCACGTACTTTCAGTTTTTAAGCCATCAAAGTAGCTAAAGCTTTTTTGTGACTTTTTTGCAGCAAATATTCTTCCATTCATTCTTTTTTGCTGCTAGCAAAGTGCTAAGTAAGTCTTTAAGCTTACTTCAACTTTCTTAGCTAACTTTACTGCTCTATCAGTACTTTACTTCGCTTTACTTTAATAAGTTTGAATTCTTTTTTCGATTTCAAACATCAAAAATTAGCATATTTTTATTTTATCATATTATTCACACTAAAATAACTGACTATTCTGATTTTTTCTAATCTCAAAAGCTAAATTAGCCAGAAAATTTGAAGCAATTTTTCGCTTCAAATGAAATACTTTGTGAAAAAACCTTGATCACTGCTTCAATGATTTTAAGCATAATTTTTTTGTACAGTTATTTTTATAAAAATTGCATATGTATATTATAGATGCGAATTTTACAGGTAATGTAATAATGATAATAATAACTATTACAGTAATACTGTACAGTAATAGAATGATAATTACTGTTGATGAAGTCAAAATTAATTTTGAATACTATTTGCAATTTCCAATACATAGCAAAGTGTGTACTGAGATATAGTGATTTTAAAGCCTCTTATAAGTAAGTAAACAACTGATGCACTTCTCCATAATATCAACTGCTGATGTTTCACTTACTGAAAGATCGTCATAAGCGATTTATAATGAATTGCTGCTATGCAATTATGAACTAAGAACAGAGAAATGATAATAGTAAATGATATAATCAGTGATAGAATGATAACTTAAATTCAATAAGGTTTAGCTCAATAGCTCAATACTAAAAAGTTTAAGTCAAAAGGTGAGTAAGGAATATCATATTCAAGAGTGACCTTAATTTAATGATAAGTTTAACTCAGTTACTATTATAGTGTTGCTTCGTATATTTACTGCCTTAACTTGCATTTCATCTTAATATGTTGTTAACTACAAACAATAGGAAATTAAACGAAAATTTGCATAATTATAGTTAATAAAGCCAAAATTTGCATAATTATAATTAAAATTTTTCTGACAATAAGCATTGCATAATTATAATTAACAAAAATAGTTATCTGAAAATTTCAAAAAAAAAGAAAAAAATTATTAAAACAATTATGCGTTTGACCTTTTCATTACTGCACCACATTTATATGCATCCGTTTATTTATAAAACCACAACAAATGTTGCGTTTGAAAATAATAAAATTTGATATTTCTAGAAATTATTTTAGTTTAATTATTAATGCATTTGATATGTTGTAATTTTGAATATTACAATGATTTGAGGATAGTTCACCAAACAATATGCAAAGTAATGAGGAACCACGATGTTGTTTTCAGCTTTTACCATTACAAGTAAGTTTGTTTTATTTTACCAAATCAAGGCAACAAAATTTCTGAATTTTAAACAGTTTTGCATAAACTTTCAAGCCTGTAGTCCAACTAAAATACAAAAGTAAGAGTCCAGTCCAGTCTAAAATAACTGCATATTAGACTAAGTAATTGAGGTATTTGATTTATATTTACTGGATAAATTGTATAATAATTTATGTAACATTAATGCTATATTAAGTGATTATATAACAATCATTATTAGAAAAATGTGATTATTTAATTTCAGATTTGTTGTAAATTGATAGTTGCTATCGATATTGCATTTCATTTATTAATTTCTGGAATTTCATTTCAAATGGCAGCATCTGAAATGATTATAATTCCATTTGGCATTGCTGTATTGGTAGTAGCAATCTTATCTATGCTTTTTTATTTTGGTATCATAGCAAAATCTGATAAATTAATGATACCAATGATTGTTTCTAAAGTATGTTAATAATACACAAATCTCAAGTTTAAAAAAATCATTTTATACAAATTTGAACACTTCATATAATCCATGTTATTTGATCATGCTTGCTAATATATTGCGCTTATTACAAAAACTTTCAATCACAGAAAAAATTAATATGAAAAAAACAACTTTTATATTTTTCACATATGATATTACTGAATGAACGTGCAGAAGAATCCACGCAAAGTATATTTAATTTCTTCAAAACATCAAATAATTAATGTATAAAAAACATTAAATAATTAATATATAAAAAATTTAAAATGGCAGAAATAAAGGAAAATAATTTACGAAAACTAATGACATAATTTTGCTTTAATTAAATTAAAACAACCAGTAACAATAACATGATAACTTGAAAATGCATGTGGGTTAATATTTTTCAAATTACAGATTATTATAACACTAGCAGTTGGATTAGTAACAATTTTTACTTGGATTGGACTACTATTGTCAATATTTTCTCTCAATCATCTTGAAAGTCCAATAAGTAATACATGATTATTTGAATAATTTGGATAGAACTCTTAACTTTATACAATGTCAACCTAAGCACTGAGATTATCAGGATGTTAACGAAAAATGCTTTGAAACCCTATTTCAATTTAAGATTCTTCCGTCTTACAACTTACAATAATGATAAAAGAGCATATTTCTTATTACGGTAAGCAGTAAAATGTCTTATAGTGATTATGATTCCCTCGGAGAAAACAAGCTATTTAATGCAAGTATAGGATTTACTCTTCTCCTTGAAACTCCAAGTAATGAACTATTTTCAGAGGGCTTGTCTACAAATGAATATCTTGTGCTACAGAGTTCCATGATAACGATATTATTTTTCATACTACTGGGTGAAGGGATAATTTTACAAACTGAATATAAATACATTAAAACGCAGTTAATCCAACAAACGGAGAATCCTAAATTTTTGAACGCTGGTATTACAACTAGAAGACCAACTGCTTTGTGATGAATCTCAACTAACTACCTTTAACAGCATGCAGACCTTCTGATTTTACAATTTTATCGTTATCATGTAAAAATTTATTATGAATAGAAGCGATTTTATACAAATTCATGGTTCTCATTATCAGGTCGGCAAATCTATTCTTCGTTCCTTTGTTTCGTCCTCATAAATGATATACTCTGGTAACGTGTGATAAATTACAAGTCATAATAAAACATATTTAAAATAATAACGTGTAAATTTGAAAACCAGATTTCTATTAAATATATGAGCAAATAAAAATAACTAAACAATTAATGATGGCAACAATTAGGAGATACTGAAAAAAATAAATAAATTTATCGTTCCAAAAATTGCAGAAAAAAGTAGTTTTTCAGCAGTGTAAGAGATCTTTCTTGCACACATTCAACAATGTATGAAAGAATCTCTCATACATTGTTTGATACTTCCATTGTATTAACTAGCTTTGGTAACAAATATACATTTCACACTATGATACCATTTGGATATATGACGAAAAACAGGATTCAAAACAGGATTCTACACTGTTTCAGGCCCTTAACATAAATTATGCAGCTAAAACTCTTCAGCTAAATGAAAATGCAACAAAATATAAGCTTTTTAAGAAATTGAGGTACTGGGATAAAATAAATTATGAGCTCCATTTTGGTTTACGTTTTTTCAGAAACGCCACCACACCTTCTTTACAATCATCCTGAAAATTATATTTATTGAGGTTAATTTAAAAAAAAGCATTCAACAAAAACTAACTAATGAGTGTGAAAAAATCACAATAATTTAAAAAACAACACTGCAATTTGAAAAACTAGCATCATTTTTAGTGTTAAAAAAGCCACAGTAATTAAAAAATACGAAAAAGCAAAATTAAACGTTTTACTATGATAAACTTTTATTTTTGGAGCAAATACTATGAAAACAAAGATACAAAATTGACATTTCTGGAATCTAAAAAAACTACAGTGGAAAGAGAAGCGTGGAAAAGTCGGCTTTCATACTGTAGACCTTCTTGAAGGAATGTTTCATAAGAGCGATTAATAGCATCTTTCACCAGTGATACAATCAATGATGAGTGACTACTAATTTTTTCTGCTGTTTTTATTGCTTCTGATACGACCTGAAAATTCATTATAATTCATCAAATTTATTCACTAACACGTGCATAAAGTGTAAAAACACTCCATATAGAATTGACTACATAAAATTTTACCACAGTTCAAGATTATATATAATTCACAGTATTTTAATTTCATATTTTAACTCATGAAAGTATCATGAAGATATTGATATAGAAAATAAAATAAAAATAAAGCAAAAAATTTTGTTCAGAAATTAAATACTTGAAATTTACCGCATCAACTGGAAATATCTTTGCTACAATACCACACTCCTTTGCTTCTTGTGCTGGGATTGAGTTTCCTGTTAAACAAATTTCCATAGCCACTGATTTTCCAGCAACTCGCAGCCATCTTTGTGTGCCTCCAGCACCTTTAATTTTAAATATTAAATGAGGCTTAAAAACAAATGTCTAAACATTAGAATATGTGAATACAACTTCAAATAAAGACATTTATCAACTTCACTCTACACTTCATCGAATTAAGATTATAAATTTATGTCTCATCACTGAATGATCCTCAGTGATAGATTTATGAAGAAAACAAAAACTTGGTATATCTTTTTTATCTGATGTACAAAAAGCAATTCAATTTCTAACCTATCATCCATTTCGATAGTTACACTTCTTTTGTTCCAACAATACCAAATTAAACCAGACACAAGCATAACATATTCAAGAACTTTGTCCACTTATCATTCCAAAAATATTTAAAATGCATAACTTCCAATAACAATTGTCATTTACAGAGGATTAATTACAGGGCATAAAATCTAACCAGGTATTGTTCCAATCGTAACTTCTGGTTGTCCAAACATGGCGTTCTCGCCTGCATAAATAATATCACACATCATAGCTAATTCACAACCACCTCCAAGTGCATGACCATTTACGGCCGCAATAATAGGTTTCTTTATCCTTGAAATAGTTGTCCAGTTCTGTAGCCAATTTTCTGATGATATCATGTTATGCTGAACACTATGAATTTCTTTGATATCTGCGCCAACTGCATTCCACATAGAAATGGATCAATACTATGTGATATAATATTTCTTTTACAGAAAGAGTTATAATACAAACTTCGAAGTGTCAAAATACAAGTAAGATAAAATTTTAATGAGTACAACAACGAATTACTAAGAAGATGTAATTCGAAGACATTAATGCTAAGAGTAAAAAGCATAAATGCTCAGCAATAAAGTAAGTCATGTTGATAGGATATTACACATTGTATTAAACTTTTAGTAGTGATACACAACAGTACAAAATAGAGAGAAAAAAACATTTCTAACCTGAAAATGCACGATTGGAACCTGTTATTATGATTACTCCAACCGATTTATCACTGTCAAAACTATTTAGTGCATCTGAAAGCTACAATACCAGAATTTCCTTTTTCTCCCCTCATTAACAATGTTTTTGCTTGTATTCATTACAAAATATTCAACATAGAGCCTGTAGTAGTAGCAGTATTGAATTTATTTTATTTAAAAATAAAGTTTCGTAAACAATAAAAATTAATATAATAATGAAATAAAATTTTTTCAATTACTACTACAGACTTTACGTTAAACTTTGAAGAAACTAAAAGATATTAAAAATCTAGATAGTACTGCGAGAGTTATTAGATAAGTCTCGAAGCTCAAAGTAAACATATTTCTGAGAATGTTTTATTTCTCAAAATAGCAATTCATGTATGAACCTCTTGAATGAGTTGAGCGCATAATGAATTGAATGTTTTTGGTCTATTGAGCGTAATTAATCCAATATTTTTGTTCTTCCCAACTTTTTCTGTTTTGATCATTTGCATTGTAGCTGCAATCCATAAGTAAGCATATAAAATGAAAAATGCAACAGTAAATATGAAAAACAATAGAGAAATAAACTTTACCAATGAAAGATTTGCAAAAATCAAAATTATTATACAGAAACTTTGACGGATAACGTGACATCTGGAGAGAACAAGAAGTCAGCAAGCATAACTTTTTTCCTATCCCCAACATTTCCTGAAAAAAATGATTGTGCAGGGATAAATGACGTGTTGGAAGAAAAACAGCTGTTAACAACTCATTGACAGTATTAATTCCTGAATAAATAAAAATATTAAAAAATTGAGATTAATTCAAACAAATAACACTTTTGTCAAGTGTAAGACGACATTATTCAATTCAAAAATCATGTAAAATCTGAAGGGGAAAGTAAACTGATAAACATAAGTAACTTCATTAATACTCAGAAATACTATTGATAAGTCTGATTTAACAAAAGTGTTAACAACTACAACTCTTCACAAAACCAAAGTAAAAACTCATTATAAAATTTCAGACCAGTGTATTTCAGATCACTTTGACGAGAGTGAATGAAATAATTGGTCTCATCTCCGTGTTTATCATTACTATTAATTGTATTATTACTATAATTGTGGACAGCTTAAAACAGAGATATTGTTAATGATAAATGCAAGCCATAAGTTTGTTCAATCTGTACTTAGAAGACGAAAACTTTTCGTGGGTCAGTATTGTCTACAACATCCACAGTGTGAAGTATCTTCAAATGAAACTGTATTACATTGTATAACTATTCCAATAATTAATAATATAAATAATGAATAATAAATAATAATAATGACACTAAATAATATTGATAATAAATAATATATTATAATAATAACGATAATAATAATAAAATAATAATGATAAAATAATAACACGAAAAATAATATTAATAATCAAAACAGGGAGTCTGACATTTGATATTTTAATCTTGCGCAGTTTAAAAATCATAGCTTATCATTCAATGCTTATTTTTCAACTGTTCATAATAAAACAACTTGAGACTCTGAAATTTACTTATAATATAAACGCTGTAACTGATATCAGTGTACTGCGCTGACTTTCAAAGTTTTTTGCACGACACTTGGTCTGTAAAGTTTTATTTTAAAAACAATATCTGGCGCTTAGTGTTGTTATCAGCAATTATAAGATTACTGCTTATCATTTGAATGATAGCAAAAAAAGATATTTACTCAATTCAACAACTTTTTAATGTGCATTTTGTATGAAGCTTGAAATCTGATGATATAGTCAGAATTCGATTACTTTCAGTACAACTGAGGTGAATCTATATTGCGATATCTGTGATTCTCAGCACATATTACAAACTTCTCAAATTAATTCCTTTATAATACTCTTTGCATAATAATATGGTTTAATTTGGATCAATCACTGATCAGCATTTTATCGAATTGGCATTTGATTTCGATGGATTTGAAATCGAAAATCATAAATTTGATATTATTAATAGTTAGCATTTATAACTGCAAATATATAATTTAAAATGTATTAAACTTGATGCTAATCTTGCTTTGTTTTGTACTCGCGAACACTAATTAATTTGTTATGCATATTTAACGCGTTGAATTTGATTTTAGATCAGTCGAAAAACTTAGATGCTTAAAGAAAATTTCAGATTTAATTCTTTCAATTTTTTATTTTAGAATCAAAATGGTTTTTACTCAGTTACCCGTGTATTTTAGTTTTAGTCATTTTTTATTAGTAATAAATTAATTAAATCTCTGATTTTTAGTTGTGAAGTTCCGAGACAAAGAAAAATTTTTTGATTATTTTTATTGATCAGTGAAAAAAATTAACTTATATACTAATAAAAAGATACGCTTAAGTAAAGCGTTATTTACGTGATTTTACGAGTCTTTGTGGTTGTAATTCATTGATGATAAAACATTGACTATAATTTTATATGTGACATAAAGACGAGGATAATGTCAATTGAGCACAAAATTAATAATTATTTAATACTTTTTAAATTGCCATCGAATTATTACAAATAATTTATGCACGCTATGAAATTATATCTCATAGAATTCAAAAGGTTTCATCGGTGATGGAAGTCTCACTCTCCTCAACTTCTGGTGGAAAGTGCTGTAAAGGAGCGTTTTCGTCATGGTAAGTCCACTCGATTATTGGTGAGAACTGTACGTTGTAGACCGGTTCAATGACCTCATCCTCTGCAAGCAAGCAATTTATTATTTTCAAGATTTTTTAAAATCAAAATTCATCCTTTACAGTAGCACTGATCAGGCAATTCTTAAATTAGTTAGATCACATTTTAAGCTGAATTTTTTCAAAGTCAGTAATTTTAACTTTAAACATATTTGAATTAAATATTTAAACTGAATACCTAGAGTCAGGCAGCTAAATATGTTTTACGCACAGGAAGAAATGAGATATATGGGTGATTGATTTAAATAAGTATACCCAGATTAAACTTCAAAAAAAAAGTCTGTAGTAGCTTGCAACAAATATTAAAATTCAAAATGTATAAGTCGAAATGATTACTGTAATATACTGTACAAATAGTGTCAAATTACAAGTTTTTTGTGCTCAAGAATGCAAAAAAGTATAATGATTATTACTTTGACTGCAAAAAATTTTTTACATTTTTCAGTTTTTCAATAATCGAAAAAATTGTGAAAATTTATGAATATAAAATGTTATCAAAAATTTATAAAATGTTAACAAAAATGCATAAAATCAGTAAAAATTTTATAAAATTGGTCAAAGTAATAATCATTATACTTTATAATATATTTTATTTGATAATGATCAAAAATTTTACAAAATTGATAAAATGTTAACAAAAATGCATAAAATCAGTAAAAATTTTATAAAATTTATAAAATATTATCAAAAATTTTATAAAATTGATAAAATATTATTAAAAGGTTCCTACCCAGTCGATGATCTCGGCAATAAACCATATGGATTAGTGAAAGTATTACGATAAATTTGATCATTTTTTGCTGAAGAAAATTATTACCACAAATGGTATGAAAAATTAGTTTTGGTTGGGTTATATGAGACAAATTATATTATTTACCAATGATATGTTTACATTAAGTAAAGATTTATGTGTTATCTTTTGTTTACATAAAAATTAAAAATATAAAAAAAATTTTTATGCTAAACAAAGTTTGCAAAGTTTTGTGCTTTGATTTGTTTGTGAATAAATTACAATAAAGCAAAAATATTGAAAAAATTTATCACTTTTTGCGATAAAATATTACTTTTTTTAACAATACAGAAGTTTTAGCTTTAAGTCAACAATTGTTAGGCACAAATGTAAGCTAGTTTTGCATGGAGCTATTATTATTAGTTAATTTTTTGCAGCAAATTTGTTGTATTTTTTTCCAAAAAATAGCTTACAAAATATGAATAAGTCAAAGTTCAAAAAAGAAAATGAATAGCTACAGTTTTTGTATGTGTTTTAATTTTAAAATAATTGCGTTAATTAAGTACGGTACACATTTGAAGGATTTATTGAAAGTTTTTGCAGTAATTATCAGAAGTTATTAAAAATTTTTACAGAATTTCTTAAAACATCGAAAGCACAGTGCTTGTCTACTTTCAATCATTCAAACTGTTAGAAGTAAAATTTCACTCAACCTTTGTTGATTTATTTTATTCGGTGAAAAAATTTATTTGTATAATTTACTAAATAACATTCTAAATTACTTCTCTAATTAAATTAGTAATATTCTAAAATATAACCTTTTGCGTTAAGGTCAGTGCTACTTTTACTATACAAAAAAATGCATCAGTGATTTTTTGATCGAAAATTCATTTTGTTTATTAATTAAAAGTTATTAATGCTAATACATTTGAACTGATTATTTTTTTGAGTAATTTGTAACGTTCGCAATAATAAAGATATAGTTAGTATTTGAAAAGCTTGCAAAATTTTCATTTAATAGTCTTACATCAACTCGCGCAGATAATCCAAGCGAGCAGATTAAATGGTAAAAAGATTTTGAAGGGTTTAATAAATTTTAATGCCAAATTTGCTCAGAGTAGTTTTTTTTCTAGATAAATTAAGATCAGCTGATTTGGATTCAAATCAATAAAGAGTCATACTTTGGTAATGGTAAAAACTGTTTCATACTTCTCAGAATCTGAATCTGAATCAACACGCGCACGCACTTTCATAATGCTTAATGTCACCTTATTTTATTGTTTAATAATAATAAATACTTCATGTGATGATATATTTTGAAGAAATATTTGTTGATACATAATGCTTACAAGTTTCAATATTGAATAAATATTGGTGCGTCAGTTTGAGGTGATTTTAAAAATATTTAACATTAAATAAAAATCTTTAAACTTATTACAGTATGAACAAATTGAATAAATATACTACTCTTATAAATAAGTCTAAATGACATTCTGAAAGTCAAACTTTTATCTCAATTTTTTCATTTGCTCTATAATCTTATTATTTGTTTGAACACAAATAGGCCAAAATATCTTTGCTAATTGTAATTTGTATTTCGATTAAACAATTTTCAATTTTAATACAAACATGTATAATTTTGAATGTTAAACGTTTCAAAAATTTGGCATCAGTTTTGAATAAAGCTAATTTGATCTTGAAAGCTACTCAAAATGAAGCTAAGAATTTAACTGAAGTGATATTTGCAACAGTCATGTGTTTTCTGCTTGCCATATCGATAATGTTCGCATTATTGAAGTGATAATTGAATCGGTTTGTGTCATTTGAATCAGATTAATAATCAAATTGAATTAACAATTATAAAATCGTGTAAGTGGTTGAACAGAAAAATTGCATGGAAAATTTTAATAATATTTGATGTTTCCAGTTTTTATATTTTGGCATGAATATAGTGAAGAATTACTAATGAACTTTGCACTTATTTTCAGAATTACATAACTTGATAACCTGATTACTAAATTAACTTAATTACTAATTTAGTTTAAGACGTGCTTTGTTGGATAAGTTTTATTTGCAGTAATTACATAGCGTAATTATATCATTGCAGTAATCAGTTCAGGCATGCCTGCGTTGAAATTCTGAAAGAACTTAATAAATTCAACTCAAATTAAAATGCTTTAAATCCAAATAATTAATCTCATCAGTGCTGAAAATTGATCTAAATTCATTTTATCAAAGAGATTAGTGCAAAAAAATTAATAATAAAAATCGCTTGAATATAACTTTTGTTAACTTTTATTTATTC